TTTATTATATAATAATTTTAATATATTAAATATTAATAATCAAAACTGGGGAAAAAGTGTTTTCTTTACGGTTTTTTTCCTCATTTTTTAATATATGTTATTCGTACTAAGTGATTTGTTAGGCACACATATGTGATATAAATATATAGCCCTATCTGTCCTCTAAAAAACAATATATAATATGTGTGGATGCACTCAGTAAGAAAGTATATAACTGCTGTGGAAGAATCACAGAGTAAAAATGTAAAAAGTGTGTCAGTCATTAGTGAACAGAAACAGAAAAAAAGCTCAGTCATGAAGGGGTTTAACTTCTCTGTAGATAATGATTTACTTTTGTTTAGGACTACAGGGCTTTCTGCTGGAACTCCCACTAAAATGACACCATCAATTTATTTATCTTTCTCCTGCATAGCAGTGGGTTGGAAGCTTGAGCTCTGGATGATAATGAAGATGATATTTTACTGTTTTTTCTAGTTCCATATGATTGACCTTTTCATAGACCTGAAATCAATTACTGTGCAATGGTCTGGATGACTTGAAAACCTGCAAGGCTGAATGGGGCAGAACAATCTGGGTTCTGGGGCTGCAGATTGCAAGAGCATTGGTTTCTGATGTATAATAAATCTTTAATCTTGTTTTATTTAGGTAACAGGTACATCACAATTTAGTTGATCTTGTAGTTTCTGTATTGTTTGCAAACACCGTGGTATAAGCTGTTGTTCTACTTTAATGGTCACAAATTGGCTGCTTAGGTATGTTCTATTTGAGCTGTGTATGACTTGTCTAAGAACAAGTGGAGATAATTCCCCAGTTCTCATGTGCAAATGCATGTCATGCTGCATTCACTGTTCCAGTAAACTTGAACAACTAAGATAAATTATGCAAATTGAACCTAATGTTCTACATTAGTAAGAGCATAAACAAAACAAAGTAAGAATCCAAACAATTAAATAGTTCCACTGAGGATTAGAGTGGTGAAAAGGCAGCACTAAATAGGAGAAAATGTGCTAACAGAATGTCTGCATAATATCATGTATATCCATTGTGAAGTTATATTCCAGTGAATGCGAATTCAATTTTTAATGAGCAGCAGCAAATAGATCACAGAGGAAAATCTGCCCTCAGCTGAAGTCTTTATGCAAGCATTTATTTCGCTAATATGGACAGTAGCTGTGCTGGGATGCACCTTTGTGACTCACTTTAGCTGCTAGGGGAAGCTGGGTAATTCACTCATAATGAACTATTTATTCTCTTCCATTTTACATTAGTATTGATTTTTCCCTTTCCTCTCGCACAGTGGGGAAAAAAAAGGCAGAGGAGCATGTTTTGGGATTGTCGCTGTCTTTTAGTCCAGTGACCAGAATAGCACATAGGGTACCAATTAGAACAAGTTCTGATCATTTAATTCATGTGGCTGCTATTCCTTCGGGCCGCAAGCTGAAGTAGAGAGTTATACCCAAGTAAGAGTCAGGACAGACCAAATCAATAACACGATAGTGAGATAAATAACAATAACAAAACATATGGAATTTTATTGAACTCCGTTTTGTACAGTCTTCAAAAACATTTATCTTTTTGTTTTTCTTTTCCCGCAGGTTCTTCCAGAAGTCAATGAGCCAAGAACAAATGCTGGGGTAAGAATTTTATTTATACTGAAATTTAGTCTGACTTTATAAAGGATTTTCCTTGAATGTTATATTCATACTTTCTATTATATTTAATAATGTATCTGCCACTCTATAATTTGATGTAGTGTATGAAATATGATTTTTGTTTGATCCCTGCAAAGCTTAGCTGATTGGTGCTGGGAGGAAAAGGATAAGAATCATACACACAGGTGTTGAAACCAGAAACACCTCCACTACCTGTGGCTCTGGGCCCAGTTTTATCCTGTTCTGCACGGCAAGGGCAGGGTGAGCAGTGTTAAAGTAAATGTAAACCCAATCACTAACATCATAATAACATGTAAGTGTAATTTCAAAAGCCTTGTTTAAAATGTTTAAAATCTGTGACTTTCATTAAAAAAAAAATGCCTTGTATTGGAAACCATAACTGGCTGGTCCACTGATCATCATGCAGCCATCACTAGAGCGCATGTAGACAAGAATGAGATGCTTCAGGAGATCAGCATTATTGAGATGCAGCAAAGGATAAAACAAAAGATGAAAACAAATATTGTATTAAAAAATGGTATTGTGTATGATGAAGAAATTTGCTTTAGAAAAATAAAAGACGTGCAAGTAGGGTTTACATTTACTTTAATGAGACTGCTAAATGATATTGCATTTTAGACACTACAGCCAACAACCATGCCATTGTATTGGGAAGCAATTGCTTTATTAAGTGGTTGCTGTAATGGGCCATTCTGGTCGGTACGCACATTCAAGAGCGTGTTAGCACGTGCACCAGCTGTTCTGCTGTTTCATAGGGTATCAGGAAGCAAGGTACACCAGCTGGAAATGCTGTGGTTCCAGGAATTGTAAGCTACAATGTACATCCTACACTCCTCTTCCATAAGCTTTCTTGTTGATTTCTTCTCTACTCCTGTATATTAGCTTGTTTGATGTCATTTAACATCCCATTTTTTGCTGCTGCAGTTTATTAAATACAAGTTTGTGTTTCAAATGGAAGTTTCTCATACCCTTGTGGGTTACCAATGTAGATTAAATGGGAACCAGTCTTGTCACAATACGTTTTACGTCCTTTCATTCATTGCAACATCCTGGTTCACACTCCACACAGGATAGAAATACATGGATGCATTCTAAAGAAAAACCCCACCGATTGTCAGACCTATGTCTTGGTAGAGGGACAAGCCTGTCAGCATAATTTTGTAATCTGCAATGCCATCCCTTATTCTGTGATAGCATCTGTTATAAAGTGCCATGTCCGCATGTCAATACTGTACTGAATACATGGCATATTTTAAAGGATTTCAGTAACTTAAAAAGTTACGCTTGCAGTGGGGTTAGACCCGCACTGCAAGGGTTAAGTGCTTGTTTTGTCTAGGGGGCGCAAATAAAGCAGATACACTCACCTGATTTTCAGCCCCACGGCGGTCAGATCTCTCCCCTCCACTGTGGCTATGGAATGTCCCTCGGCATCCCCATGTCTAATGCAAGTCAGTGGACCTGCATAAGTCATGATGATGTCAGCGGCCCCTAGACCACCAGATCCCAGAGGAAAAGAGGCTGCGGGGACTGGTCTAGTAGCCTGGCAGGACCAAGGAGCCTACAAACATGTCATTAGTTACAGTATAGAATCATTCCAAAATGTTATAAAAAAACAATTTTAACTTAATTTGAACCCACAAGTAACTTAGTATTCATTTGCTACCTGAAACATGTACCCGATGCACTAACATCTTCCTGGGGCCACCCCTTAGTGTACTCCTTGAGTTACTATCTTCAAGGGCTGATAGGCCAATCTAAAACATAAACATATCCTGATACTCTAAATGTGCAAAATAATTTATCAGGATATAGAAGCCAGGGCAAAATATCTAACTAATGGAATAGGAACTTGTTTGTTAGGACACTGTGAAGTGTATTACCCTTCCCAAGAGGCAAAAACTCTCCATTGGTTCCAGCATTATAGTTTACATTGATAGGTTAAAAAAAGGGAACACATGTGCAATGGGGTCAACTAAATGTCCATCAGGTTTAACCAAGGCTGTCTATACCTAGTCAAATTCACCATCATTATAAGCACTGTGTATGTGGATTCTTGCTGTTTGTGAAAAAACACCAAATATGTGTTAAGTGGAATGAAAAAGATATCCGTAATAGAAACAAAAAAGGGCATTTATTTCAGATTAAATCTGTTGCAAGTTATGTTTAAAGTCTTTAGCTTAATCTTCTCCATTTATGTTCATTTACTCTGCAAAATAAAATGTGGTGAACATTCTGGGAATGCATAGCATCGACTGCATTACTTGACTTTAGATGGTGGTTCCTGGCGGAGTAGAATAGTGGACTGTGGGTGAATGGTAATGTGCTCCCCTGACATTTAGATGCATACTATTTTATGGTCTTTTATACAAAAATGTGTTTCTTATTTTATACACACATCAGTGTGACCTTATTTTGTAATAGAACTGTCCCATTGCTGTCAATGTCAGTCTTTATTTACACCGCTGTGGTGATGTATACTTCCCCAAATGTTTCTCTATTAAACCAGGTTTAAACAGTTCAGTATTTCCATATATTTATAGGTACCCATACACTGCGCGATTCTCGTACGAGAATCGCAGGAAATCCCGCGATCGTACGAGAATCGTGCAGTGTGAATGAAGACGTGCAACCGTTTCTACTGTACGGTCACACGTCTTTTGTCTAAGGAGCATGCTAGAAAACCAGCCGAGAATCGTACGATTTTTGGCTGGTTTTTAGCATTATCGTAAGATCAATGCCGCACGGACCGGTGTGCGCACGCGCACACTGTCCTTCAGCATTGCGGTCATCGGAAGCACACCCCTCAGGGGGGCGGGCTTGTGATGATCGCAAGTACGATCTGCCTGTCCAAGATGGGCAGATCGTACGTTTTTTAAAATTACTTTACAACCATCGCAAGACTTGCGATGGTTGTAAAGTGTATGGCCACCTTATAGCTTCTGCTATCATTTGAAGTGATCACTTGAAAAGCTGTCACAATCAGTAAATGTATCTAATTAACACTTTTACCTAATTTCCGTGCAAAGGAAGAACAGCTGATATGCTCTCCATTGCCTGACACCTTCACCGAGCATATTTATAAATCCATTCCATCCTCTACATCATTTATAGTGACAGTACAGCTCATAGTGAAGCAATGTTTAGACCTGTTCAGGTAGGGTTTTGGTGAGGAAAGGCCATATAGAGAAACAACATGCTTCTGGATGTTGGGCACAAGCGATACAATAAGGGCCCCTTCACACCAGACAAAGTGTGTTCTGCCCTAATTCTGGCCACCAGTGAGCCACCGCAATGCGATCCAGTCAGAATCGGGCCAGAACGCACTGTCTGGTGTGAACGGCCCTAAAGACAATGGGAGGAATTTATGAATGTGTTTGCGACAACACTTTTAGTTGCAAATACCAAAATGTCATGCTATCTAATTCAAAAGTTTTATCTTTGTATTGCATCTTTTTTAAGTGTTTTTGTGAGATATTAATGTTTGTATCTCACTGCACATGTTTTGTGACATTTCACATAATCTCTCAACTGCCCAGTAATTGCATCCATCATTTGCATTTAAAAGACCTCCAAACTGTCGCACATTATAGAAGTCCTCCTAAGCACCTCTTAAAGTAGAGCAAAGCTAATTCAGCTTTATGCCCTGAAGTCACCAAAGCACTTCAGAGCTATTTAGTTGTCCTCCAGGAAATGCCCCGCAAGTTTGCAACAATTTTGAAATAATTTTAAGACAGTTCTTACGAAGGCATTTAGGAATGAAACATAAACTAGGATAATGAATCTGCCTCTATATGCACTAGAAATCAGGGATTCCACAGTTTAAAAGATGCTGATGATGTGTCCAATTTGATAAATGTTCTCCTATGTTTTTTTATCCTACAGAAAAAGCTGTACTTTTTCCAGACTTATAATAGGGTTACGCTGTGTTCCCATTTTAGAAATAAATTTGTTTTTTGTGCAGTTTCAATAGTTAACAATTATTTTTCTAAGCTCCTTAATTAAATATAAAGATATCCAGAATGGTAAATGTAAAACTATAGACATTATACTGTATGCACATTGATATGCAACACATACAGTATTTATGCTATGAATACTAGTAGAGTCACAGGGTAAGGGTACCAATGTGTTGATGGTATATATTTGAATATTAACTCATACCTTCTTGATCGCATTGGTTGTCTGATCCATGTGATCCATCAGCGGGAGAAGAGGTCAGAATGGAGCAGATGTCACAGCCTAGTCATCTGCTCCATTCTGATCTCTTCTCCCGCTGATTGGCCGATTGGATTATTGACAGGCTTCCTCACCAAGTCAGGAGTGACTGGTGAGGAAGCCTGTCAATAATCCAATCGGCCAATCAGCGGGAGAAGAGGTCAGAATGGAGCAGATGACTAGGCTGTGACACGGAGTGGCTGAAGCAGACTGAGAAGACGACACAGCAGGTTAGTACTGCTGCACCTCATGGGGCTGGGCACAAAAATGCTTTTTCCCGGCATATATTATTATTTTATTTTTTTTAAACAATTTTATTGTCAGAAGTAAAACAACAAGAAACAAAAACAGTGCATACGCAGATGCCTCAGACCAGTATAAGATACATAACAAAAGCGGAGTGCGTTATGCAACAGCTGTATTAACAAGGCATTGACCAGTTCTTCTTTTTTCTTTTTCTTGTTTAAACATATCAACTTGTTATCTATTAGATTACTTTGTGTATTATTTTTAAAAAACAAAATAACTATGTAGATATTGCTAACTAAGGCTTGTATCCCCCTAGTGGTGAAAATAGATGAGCACATGTCCAGACTGCAGACCAGAACACAGTGTGGCACAGCTATATCCAATTCTGCATACCTGGCTTAAGAAAATGTAATATTAATATAAAGCCAGTTATACAGAATTGGATACAGCTGTGCCACACTATACAGTGTTCTGGACTCTGGACATGTGCTCATCTA